TGTGTGTGTGTGTGGTAGAGCCACCAGTGCCTGGCTGTTATCATCTTTGTGTGTGTGTGTGTGTGTGTGGTAATGGAGTTTGGACCCAAGACTTCACACTTGCTAGACTAGTGCTAAACCACTTGAACCATGCCACAAGCCCTTTGTGTTTTGTTATTTTTCCAATAGGCTCTTACATTTTTTTCTTGGGCTGGCATGGACTGTGATCCTCCTATTGAAGCCTCTTGGTTTCCATAGTTTTTTGTTTTGTTTTGTTTTGTTTTTTGTTTTTTTTGTGGGGGGTCCGGTCATGGGGTCTGAACTCTGGGCCTAGGTGCTGTCCCTCATCTCTTCAGCTCAAGGCGAGCGCTCTACCACTTGAGCCACAGCGCCACTTTTGGCTTTTTATCTTTTTTGGTTTCCATAGTTTTTGCCTTTTCCAGAATGTCATGAGCTTGGAGTAATACAGATTCCATGCTTATTCTTCATATTTTAAATGTCTTCACTTTTTACATGGGCATTGGCCCTTAGCTTTTTGGCTCAAAGCCAGTACTCTACTACTTGTGCCACACATCTACTTCCAGCTTTTTGCTTGAAAATTAGAGATAAGAGTCTCTAGGAAGCCAGGTACAGGTAGTTCATGCCTATAATTCTAACTACTCAGGAGGCTGAGTGATTCAATCACGATCTGAGGATAGTGATTCAAAGCCAGCCCGGGCAAGAAAGTCCATGAGACTCTTACTCCAATAAACCACCAGAAAACTGGAAGTGGCTCTGTGACTTAAGTGGTAGAGTGCTAGCCTTGAGCTGAAGACTGAGCGACAGTGCCCAGGCCCAGAGTTCAAGCCCCAGCAACCTGTATTTCATGCCTATAATCCTAGCTACTCAGGAAGCTGAGATCTGAGGATCATCATTCAAAGCCAGACTGGGCAGGAAAGTCCAGTTCTGGGAGACTCTTTTTTTTTTTATTGTGAAAATACTGTACAGAGGGGTTACAATTACATGGGTCTGGGAGACTCTTATCTCCATTAAACCACCAGAAAAAACAGGAGTAGAGCTGTGGCTCAGAGTGGGAGAGGGCTAGCCTTAAGCAAAAGAACTCAGGTCAGGGATAGCACTTAGGCCCTGAGTTTAAGCCCCAGGACCCACCAACCAAAAAATTTTAAGTCTCTGGATTTGTTTGCAGAGTTAGCTTCAAACCATGGTCTTCAGATCTCAGCATTGTGAGTAAGATTATAGGCATAGGCAAGTGATCCTCAGCTGATAGTTATTTTTAACTAATCTTCCACTATTAGATATTGGACAAAAGAAAGAATTACATCTTGTTTTACTGTGAATGTTATTAGTCATTATACCAAGTTTTGCTAACTTATAGGTCCAATTTTAATTAGCATTTATTTGGTTATAAATATATATATAAATATATTTGAAGATATTTCTGGAATTTGGAGGTATGGTTCAAATAGTAGAGCACCAACCTTGAATGGAAGAGCCAAGTAAGAGTGCAAGGAGGGCTGGGAAGGTGGCTCAGTGGTAGAGCGCTTGCCTTGCATGCATGAGGCCCTGGGTTTGATTCCTTAGCACCACATAAGCAGGAAAACAAAAGCCGGAAGTTGTGCTGTGGCTCAAGTGATAGAGCGCTAGACTTGAGCTGAAGAGCTGAGGGACACAGTGCCCAGGCCCAGAGTTCAGGCCCCACGACTGGACCAAAAAAAAAAAAAAAAGAGTGCAAGGACTTAGCCAGTACTGGTTATTCATGACTGTAATCCTAGCTACTCAGGAAAGTAGAGAATCACAGTCCAAAGCAAATGCAAATACTTGGGTTCAAGCCCCAACATTGCTCCCCCCCCCAAATAAAAAAGTGTGGTTTTATTTCTGTATGGCTATTACTTTTTTTTAATTTGAATTGTCTATTACAGGCATATTTCTTATTCAAGTTTCTCATATTATTGAGAAATGGCCTGAATTAATTAACTAATTAATTAATTTAGGGGGCTGGTCTTGTGCCTTGAACTTAAGCCTGGGCCCTATCCTGAGCTTCTTTGGCTCAAGGCTAACACTCTGCCACTTCCTGCTTTCTGGTGGCTAATTGGAGATTAGAGTCTCATACACTTTCCTGTCTAGTATGGCCTGGATCCTCAGATCTCAGCTTCCTGAATAACTAGAATTATAGGAATGAGCCATGGCCCACCTGGCAGTTTTTGTTGTTGTTGTTGTTGTTGTTTTTAAGAAGCAAAATCTTATTTTGTCTTAATGCAAGATGTTAAAATATTTTATTAAAAAAATTTTTTTAGAGCCTTGGGCTGGTGGCTGATGCCTTTAATCCTACTTCCTCAGGAGGCTGAGATCTGAGTTCAAAGCCAGCCCAAGCAGGAAAGTCCATAAAACTCTTATCTCCAATAAATCACTAGAAAACCGGAAGTGGCACTGTGGCTCAAATGGTAGAGCACTATCCTTGAACTGAAGGGCTGACAGATAGCACCCATGCCCAGAGTTCAAGCCCCATGACCAACAAATATATATATATATATAT